CCGGGGTGGGTGAACCAGTTGGATGTTCAATTCTTACCCCATCCCAGCTTTTTGCACGAGATAATCATCTCTCCCACCCCGGAGCTCCTCCCCTGACTTTTAGAAGGGGAGGAATCCATCTCTGCGATCTCTATGCACTCTGCCGCCGGTGTCAGAGACCCAGAGCACAAAAGGCACCCCCAACTACATTTTCACCGCAACCTGATACAATCCCTCGGTCTTTTTGTAAAAGAAAAAGTTTGAGAACATCGGCACCAGACAAGACTAATAAAACAGAAGCAGCAATTTAAAAACAATTCGTAGATAGTTCAATTCCCTGCTGACTGATGAGGAGCATGGCGAGCTGCAACACGCTCATTACAAAATGTCTGATGGTGCGGATCATCATTTACCCGATGACAGTGGGCCATAATTCACAAATTTGCATAGCTCAACGTTCACACTTAATCTACACATTGCTAGACACGACTGGAAGCATTGCGCGTATTTTCTCCTCAACAATCTCAAATGGTGTACAACAAAAAAAAGACAGACATAACCACGAGCTTTGCCCTTGCCATTTGATCACCTACCCACTAGTTCCACTACTGAGGATACGGGTCCATGGCCGGATAAACTGACAAAAGTCCGAGGAACTACTAATTGGTCTTGCTGTACTTTTTGAAAAAAAATCTGTGCTACTTAAAATTGATCACTCCGGCGACATGATAATCCATAGAACATTCGTTCAACTTAGTGAAGCCACAGGTACTCTAAAGCGCAAAAAAGAGCACACACAAAGGACTGAGAAACGAGGAAAACTTGCAAAGGTGTTATTGATCCTTCCAACCAAATCTTGCTCCAGTACGGAGTAATCGATACAGTGGACCTGGGTAGCGTAAACGGCGCCAACATCCTACGCATGACCACTGACCAGATGTAAGACCGACTTCCGCCCACCTTCAGAGGGTATTCCCTGTTCTATATTTCCTTGAGCGGGCAAACACCGTTCTGGGCATGGGTCATCCTGTGCAGGTCATTGTGTAGGCCGATCTTAGATATAACATACGCCTTACATCACCATTCTGACCCAAAATGTGGTGACTTTCGAAAGATCATCGAAATGTGTTAGAATGGTGACCTAGCGTGGGGCGTGATTCCACATCTAAAATCACGCTAAGCACTTGGTATATACTTCCACCGAACAGTAGGTGCTGCCAATATCCCGGCCAATATGGCTCCAATACAAGGACAATCAAACAATTTTGTAAAATAACTTACATATCTATAGAGCATAATACCCCCCCCCCCCGTAACTGTTCGGAAAAAGGCGAGTTTACGCATTCATCTATAGTGCTTTGCACCTGGTGTCTGGAAAATTTAAAGGGAGAAAGTTGGTAGAATTCGGAGGTACTAGACACAGGTGCATTAACAATGTGAAAACATTCCGTGCCACAACTAGTCTGAAAAGGTAGACCTCGTTGGTCACGGTTCAACTTTTACTTCAGAAGATCACTTGATAGATCGCTTTTCATGAAGAATTTTTCTGTTTCATAATTAGTATTACAGTACAGTCGAGATACAATTCTTTGAAACAGTTCACTGATTGATAGAACATAAGAAAAGTATACGAACAAATAACTCATTAACGGGTGAAAATGTAGTTGGGGGGTGCCAGCGCCCTTTTGTGCTCTGCGTCCCTGACACAGGCAGCAGAGTGCATACAGGTCGCAGAGATGGATTCCTTCCCTTCTGAAAGTTAAGGGAGGAGCTCCGGGTTGGGAGAGATGATTATCTTGTGCAAAAAGCTAGGATGGGGTAAGAATTGAACATCCAACTGATTCACCCACCCCCGAAGCTCCTTCCCTAACTTTTAGAAGGGGAGGAGCTCCGGAATTGGTGAGATGATTAGATGGGGTAAGAAATGAAGAGACGCCGAGCACAAAAGGGCACTGGCACCCCCCAACTACATTCTCATCCATTAACGAAAGTACCAGTTGAAAAAAGAGTAAAATTAAGTCTTCATAACACTTTGAGAAAAGAGACAACAAATATGTGCCGAAACAGAGAGACACCGTATTGAAAATCATTTTGAAGGCACACTCCCTCCGACCGCCCAAGTGGAGAGTATCAGTGCGGCGGCCAATAAATGTCGCTACCTCCCTGGTAATGAAGTTTCACTCAGTTGAGGCAACTGTCCACAGAAGAAAAACGGAATCGTGTTCTCTCTCTTGAAATGATCAGTGTGGAGTGAGCGTGTGGGTGTTGCTGTTGATTTTTGTCCTCATCCTTTCAGTTTAGCAGCGACCCGGTTCATCTTCAATTCCAGAATCACACATAGAGTTGCACTCAACAGGGTGCAGCTCCGAAAAGGGAAGTTCGTTGCCAGACGCACGACAACGCAAGGAACCGAGAGTATCTCGTGGTCGTTCGGTATTGTGATGATCAGCGCTAAAACTTTCAATTAACCGCCTCCGCTGTGGTCGCGTGGATTTGTCGTAAATGAACAACACCAAATAGAAACCATTGAAACCAAATTGAAGGTAGTAGGGGACCTAAATAATGTGCCTTACAATTAAGTCCGAGCGAAGCATCGTTCCTGGGTGAAGCTCACCTGGGCCATGATCCTGTAAATGTAGAATAGTTCGTCGTCGTTATACTCGATGATACCGAGAATGAGACCTAGTCGTGACAGATTCTCCGGTGCATTAAGACCAACATCAATGAGGGCAATCACAAGCCATCGCCACAAATATCCAGGATGTCTCTGTAACATTTCGTTAAGCATAAAAGATTTGGTATCAGTATAATATGATTATAGGGGGACATGGTGTAGTGGCAATTGTCGCACTATCTCACACGGGTGGTCACGGTTCGAACCGGATAGATATCCGCCTAGGCCAACCAAGCCTTCCATCCCTCCGGCGTCGGCTTATTGGTACCAGACCTATCTGGGAAAATAAAAGCACTAAACTGTACATTGACTGGCCACCACAAGTATTGTATTGACCACACACCATTCAAAACGATACTACGGTTATGAATGGGAGGCGAGTGCGGGGTCAAACGAGATTGATTAACGTCTGGAGACTTTATCATTTCATAATATGCTTACAATAATATGGGATGAAGTGCTCACCCTCCTTATCTTTCAGACTGGAAGGACTACTTAATTTGCGCAAAACCTTGTTGCCTCAGCGAGTAACAGCGTCTGGTTTCATTTCAAGGATCGCAAGAGAGTGGAAGAGGGAGGCGCCGCCCTCCGTTTCGTTCTAAAGTTGAGATGCTGAGATGAGTAAACCACAGAGGCCCCAAATTAGAGCACGTTTGTTTTAGGGATAGTGAAAAGACTTTATCTGGCTCAGCTAACCTAGACAGCATAGGGAAGGGGGTTAGGGGTGAAGCAACGACAAGAACGGAACTGAGGATCCGATAGTGGAATCTGCAGTGAGCGGAAATGGACGACTTCGAGGGAAGAATGGAAAGCTGGTCTCGCAGCTCTCAACGACCGCTCCAGAATTCATGGATCAACGCAGTGGAAGTCACCCTGCAGTTGCAAAAGAAACATTGGGTGAGGCGCGAGTGGATTCGGAGGAGACAAGGCAGCTGGTTCTGAAATGATGACATCAAACAACATCCTGAGTCGGCTATTATGCTATTAGTACTGGATCTCATGACAAAAGGGCTGGTGCGTGGACCATTGAAAACAAAGTTCTACGCTGATGACATCGCTCTGATAACGAAGTGTAGAAAAGAATCGCAGAACAAGCTGCAGGAGGCAGAAGATGCTGATGGAAAAAGAGTGAAGACAAAGGTTTTCTGCCAAGAGGATTGCGTAGAGAAAAAATGTCTAGGGATGCATCAAATGTGCCCAAAGTTTCCTATACCTAGGATTAGGGCTAGCTGCTGACAGTAGCGTACATCAGACTGTGAAAGCTTGGATGACATGGATGACACGGAGAAAGTCCAGTCGTATCCTGTGCGATGAAGGGCGCTTTAAGAGGCTCGAAGGGAAAGTACTCAGAGCAGTGGTGGGTCCCAAGATGGTCAAGGGGCTCGCCTGTAAATGAGAATTATTAGGAGCGCGCAATGGAAAGGAGATAGCTTTTGAAGTGATCGGTGATAATCGTGATGACGATGATGACGATGAGTACGATAAAGAAGAAGAGGATGGGTTTTCTGTGTTAAAGTAGACTCTTCCAGCCCCAACAGGGGTGCCCGAGTGATAGCCTATGTAAACTTTTTCATAGTCGAAAGTGCTGCACTTTCTGAGAGGGATGAGAAAATACTTTGCGTATGAAGACAGACACTCCGAATTGCCCAGCTGTTGGACAAATCTGTATGGCAATTGCCACATGGTCTACTGATCATCATTCGATATCCTTTGCTGCTAACGAGAGTCCTAATCCCTATCCCCTCTTCGCATCCCATCTTCTCGACATCTGCATTTGTCTGCTTCCTAACATTCAACCCTCTGGGAGACGGGCGTTAGGAACGACTTTGGGTAATCGATTCGCCGCACGCGGCTGTCGCGGACCACTCATTCGCCGTCATTACAGCTCTAGCTTTCTTCATACAGCTCAATCGATATGCGATCATTATTTCATGCATAATTCTACTATTAGTACTTTTGTTCTTGTATTTCTTACCTACTGCTGCATCCTGCTACATTCCTTCGCGCGCGACGCCCCTCTCACCGCGACGCGACCATTTCGTTCCTAACGCAACACACCCCAACCTTCTCCCTCTGTAGAGAAGCACAAGCGTTACTAGGAATTTCGATGAGATTTGTCTTTGCTCAACAAAAGGAAGAAAACAAGTGAGTATGAAATGTTAGGAAATGGACGGCATTAACCAACATTTGAACTGGGGGCAATGTTACGTCTGAGATCCGGCTGCTCAGCTTTGGGTGCCATCAGTTTAAATCGTAGTCCAAGTAACACGGAGGCATCCATGTAGATGATCGTTAATGTAGGAATGATAAATGAACTGAAAAAGGAAGTATCAGAAAATGTTGTAAAATAAATGTTGTACCATGCAATTAACTCACATGGTGCTCTCTATTAGTAAAAAGGCTTTATTAATTTCCTGATAGCCGAATAGTGACACCATAGTGCAGCCGCCCTTGAAATGACTATAGTATCCAGGATATACAGAATTATTTAGGTGAATTTAAAATAAAACCAACGGTCGGATTGCTCTCCACAGAGACTACCAGCCACGCATTGCATACAACAGCCGCGCTAATCACGGTAAACATCGCCTGAAAAAATTACTTTCAGCAAAAAGACTGAATTTTTACAAATTGAAGTATCTTTTAAAAGTAGAAGACTTTAACAATAACAACCTGTTGATGAACAAGCGGAAACCTATAAAGCGCTAGTAAAAGCCTTTCAATTCAGCGCTCTAGAAATCGTTACGAGCAAAGGGTAATCGAGGTATTTGAGCAATCGCAAAAACCTCATAAGGAGAACATACTATCACGAATCAGAATCCAAAAACAATCATGTCTTTGTTTTTGAGTTGAGGAAACATAGATACCTTCGCGAGCGCTCTTCGATTTTCTGCTACGAAACACGTCTATGGAGTATGATTATTACCAAGTAACCAAAAAAGTTCGTGCAGTTTTGCAAGTGGATCAATCAATATACAAAAAACGGTTTAACTAAAGTTTATACTGAGAAATAGTCTCTTTCAGTAAGAATGACTTTCTCCCATTGTGAAACAAGCTGGTATATCCCGTTTTCATAGAAGTCTCGAGCTTTGGAGCTGAGAAATTAGTTTAACTCCCTTTTGAGCTTTTTTCTACATACTTTAAAACTGCGGACTCCTCATGTGATTATCCAGGGTTAAAAACAGGAGATAGTCGTTTGGGGCATGGTCTGGTGAATACGGAGAGTGAGGTAGACTTCCCCGTTGTGGACGTGCTAGAGTTTCCCGCGTGATTCTTGCCGTGTTTGTTTGTTTATTGTTTCACGCGACTCATGAGTACCCATTTGCTCAACTTCCAACGTTTTCAAAGTCGATGCAAATGTAAACGAATAGTTTCGTCACTCACATAAAATCCTAAGGCAAGGTTTTGACACGTTTCACTGTAGTCCTGCTTCAAGGTTTTCATTTCCAGAGAAAAAAATTTTTAAACCTTTTCTGACCCGTCCGTTCTGCTATAGTACCTCCCACAAAAGCAGCGCATATCTTACGACAAGCTTCTGCAGCTTTGGTGCCAAGCTCAATCCGTAAAGTAAACAGACGCGAATTATCTCATTCGACAGATCCTTGCCCCACTTGAGAATTTTGAACTCAAAACGCACTACTTAAACTTATGAGACACACTGAATGATTCTGCATAAAACAAGTTCCGAAGAATATGCAATGTTACTTTCCTACCACAATCAGTTTTTCAATACATTGCAAAGAAATGATCAACTAGATTCCAAGTCCTCTCATCTTGAAAACTAGGCATTTCTGTTGTTCTTCATTTCGTAAATTTTGCTTCTGCCTCGAGGTTGGTAGACGGAAATTTTTATTCCGGGCAACGTTAAGACGGACTCGTCGTATTCAAGGCCCGAAAATGGTTCAAAGCTTGTTGATTGCACACTACCCCACCGAGAGCCTGTTCCGTTCTAGCGTTTCTGGCGTTCCATCAGGAGTGCACGAAAAATGCCTAAAATTCGAAAAATGGGCTTACCTCACTCCCACCGCGAAGTGTAGCGCTACACTACGCGGTTAGTACATTAGTAGCGAATGATCTCACTTCGCTGTCCTTATGCAGTAATGTTATTGCGGATCCAGATATGAACATGGATTATCGGAACTAACTCGCATTATGGCATAAATGGCAAGGGATCGTTTGCGATCGTAATACCCTCATTTCGGTTGTTCATATCTGGATTACTAACTAAAGTCCAGAACGCTTCCAATGCTTTTCTCGACGATATTTCCGTATCGTGAGCCGATATCGTACACTTGATGTTAAAATTATTGCCGCCATGGTGTTCCACTCTGTGCTTCCCTAACAGAATTACCACATTACTGCGCCGTTTTCTAGGAAGATGCTCTTTATATTGATGAAACTCTTCCAGTTTCCCCTATGTAGCTTGAAATACATGCCTTTTATTGAATCTGATAAGTTGCACCTGCAGAAGCGCAATATCCATTTTTCCCGTTTGGACATGTAATGCACCCCTCTGTCAAGCTCTGCGTATCATAGCTCTGTGTATCAGTCTGTTCCCCCAGAAGTTCGCGTTTGATGTTATTAGGAGGAATATTAACTAGAATAAAATCATCGCTCAATTGAGTCAGAACATTACACCGCTGTATTGCAGCAGACACCTTGTCAGAAATGAACGGTAAGGATAGAGGAAGTTTGTTTTGGCGCGAACCGTTTCTCCTGTCAACGTGTAATCTTCCAGTGTTACCATGTGGTACCGTACAGCCATTCGACCGAGCTGTACCTCAAGCTAATCGTCTTGATTCTTCGCATTCGGTCATACCACTGCACATCTGCATATGTAGCTGTCCTATAATATTCATATAACAGCGCGTTTAACAGCGTACGGATCCGCAGATGTAGCGTGAATCAAAATGTTCTGCGAGCTTTTTTTCGGTACCACTTACCGTGTACGATCCCGCTAGACACTTCGATTTGAATGTTGGGATAGGGGAGCCAACTATCTTGTGGTAGCTCTCGTGTGAGCCTGATGTACGGTGACTGCTCATTCATTATACGGAAACACTCATAAATTTCGGACTGTGCTGAAGTTACAATGCAGCAGTCATCTATATACCTACAGTACATCAACGGTAACCGTGCCAATACTGATTCTTCAATTCTGCTCATGAAGCAGATCGCCAGTATGGGAGCTGATCGTTGACCCATGGCCAAACCTCCAATTGAGAATAGTAAGAACCTGACCACTTGAAGATGTTACAACCAAGAGATTCCTTGATGAAAGTCGTGATACACGCTTTACCGAGCCCAAAAGTCTCAATACTCCTACCGTGCCTATCCAACATTTCAGATAGCGCTTGTTCATTTTGGACGTTGGTATAACGCCAGGTGTGTCAAATGACTCTATCACGCAACTTGAACCGAGGCGCGAGTTCAGCAGTTGTTCTAGGAATTGATCAATTAGAAAAAACCGCACGAGCTTTTTTGGTTGCCTCATAAAGATTTTGAAAAATCAACTTTTTTTCTGAAAAAACCAGTGCGAATGCATTAATTAATTTGCCGCACAGGTCTGTTATGGAAAAACGCCTTATTTGGTCGATGTTTCGAATAAATCGTCGTTGTCATGGATATGAACACAAAGATTCTCAGATGTGGATTATAGGTAACCCATATGTGGATGTGGGTTGTTCATGTAATCCAGCGGAACTGCAATAGGTCTGTTATGTACTAAGCTGTAATCTTTTCGTGTATGCCCCAGAGAACAATCTTCCGTTTCTTTTTTAAATATCTCCTGTCTGTTATTGTTGTCATGTTGTTGATATTTACCTGCAAATTATTGCTACTGATCTGATAACCCACGTTTGAGGAATACAATGTGCTATTCATCGTGTGTAAGCCCAAGCTTGGATTGATACCCGTCGGCCTACCAAGCTTTCCAACCCTCTGAAGTTGGTTGATTGGCACCAGATCCGTCTTAGAGGATAGAAGCGCGAGTATGTATAACAGCTCCTCCGCAAGCCTTTGAACACGACACCACACTTGTAAAAGAAGATATTGCGGGGGAGGGTCTCAGAACTGTTATGATAAACGTCAGAAAACTTATCCGTTTAAATTTTAATAATCGCAACGCAACGATTCACCTAACCATTGGTGCTGGGCAAAAGGGAATATTTTTGTGAGGCAAATAACACAAAGTTCTTGAAAAACCTCATAGGGTAAGACCATTACCGAAAAACAAAAGATAAAAAGAGGATAAAGTTTTTGGCATTAATCAATCCCGTCTGAAGGATGCGCCCCCGCACTCGACTTCCATTCAGAATCGTAGTGGCATAATAGTGCGTGTGCCTCTACAATGACTTGCGATGGCCAGCCGATGAACAAGTCAGTGCACTTATCCACCCAGACGAGTCTGGTACCAATTCACCAACCCTGAAGGGATGGAAGGCTTCGTTGGCCCAAGCGGGCATCGATCAGGGATTTGAACCCCTGACCGTGCAAGTGATATAGTGCGCCACTTGCCACTACACCACATCCACATATCTCAATTCCAGTCTCGATAGACCAAATCTGTGAGAGCCGTTCGATCTAAGTTTCCGAAATACTCCAGAAAACATGACTGTTTGGAAAAATATTTTTTCATAAAAGCCTACAAGGGAGGGTCAATTATTAAAAATCAGAACCATAACGTGTAGCTTCTTCGGAATACGACGAGAAAAAAAGAATTTTTTCATATAAGCTTACAAGTAGGGGCAATTATTAAAACCAGAACCATAACGTGTAGCTTCTTCGTAATACAAC